CAGTCAGAAAGTGTCAAATCACGTATGATATATAGAGGGAAAAAAAGACAGCAGTGTCTTTGCAGAGACTGCTGTGAAATGTGTGACTCCAAGTAGAAGCTAGCATAGGTTTTTGACCTTTTTTGTACATATGTGGTAGAAGAAGAAGAAAGCTATATTTTAAGGACAGGTATGTCTATTTGCGGTCATTAAAAACCTAGCTAGACATTAGATAAGCTCAGCTTTCAGCCACTTATCACACCAGCCAGCTAGCCAGACCTCCCACACTTAACTGCAGTCGGCCTCCCATTCTTTTCTTTTTTGCAGTCTTTTGTGTTTTTCCCAAGCCTGCGCTTCTTCTCACTGATCTCTTAAGTGGTGATTGATCCAGTGTCATTGCCAGGTGCTTCCACCTCGAGTTGTGGCCCCTGCGCAGGCCTCTGTTTTACGTGGACAGAGCTAACCGCTACCCCAGCACTGCTTCCAATAGCATTCCTTCTTGCATATGTGCTGTGCGTACTGTGCTGCAAATATGTCGCATTTAGAGAAAGGTTCACTGAGAGATGGTGCAGCGGTGTCTGGATGTTTGGATGTTAATGATTGAGAAGCTCTCAGCACGGTTTCTAGTGCCTTTGTAGTGAACGGCAACCTGATTCATAGTTACATACATGAGACAGACCAGAGCTCAGAGCAGTTCAAGAAGTCTACAGCTGCGATGCATTCAGAATACCACCCGACCTTACCTTAATAACAGCTTTAAAAGCTACGCGAGTGTTCAACACCGCAAAAAAATGCGCTTCAGGATTTCGCTGATAATAAAGTTGTTCATAGGGGAACATTAAAACTAAGACCATTTTATCAGCTGTAATGCCACTAAATATTGTATGTGGGCTAGTTATTTAAAAAAAATAGCCTCTTTCATTTTGGAGTCCAGGGTTCCTACACAGTGCTATAAACGTGACTTGATTTGAACAATTTTGATGTTACACAGTGGCGTTTGTTGTGAGGGATCGCTTCCACCTATAGATTGCTATGCCCTTGTTGACAATCATATTATCCAGCTACCATCAGCTCACAGTGTATACGCATCATATAATCATACCATCCAGCTATGAACACTCGATAATAAAATGGGAAAAATGTGTCATGTGTACATTTCAAACTTCTCCCAACCTGTTGGGAGCACTAAACAACTGCCAACCTTCTCACCAGGTAACCGCCAGTGGGAACCAGACTCAACATCTGGAATAGACTTACATTTGCTGGTAGCGCTTAGAAACGACGCGGTCATAAAAATGATACTGAATGTGAAAACAGGTGTATCTGTTCATGTGAAAATATTGCTTGTTTCACTCCAAATGGTAAAACACACTGGTGACTTCGGTTTATGCATTCAACCCTTATGCTGTATGTCGTCTCAGTCTGAGCGCAGTGAGTTTTATATTACTGTAAAATGAATGAAGCTTAAGTGTGAATGTCCGGGTGCACGAGAGTGAGCGTGTGCACCACATGCATGCTACCGCGTTGCAGCGTGCCCAATGTATGCCGTTGCTTTCTGTTTCCATTGGTACCAGTCTATAATTCCAATGTGCGTCAAGCAGTCTGCTCCCACTCTCAACAGGACATGCAAAACTTTCTTTCCTTTCCTTTTCTTTTTCAGAGAACATTTCCATGTGTTGGGTTTATCATAACTTGCATCAAGTTTTTAGGTTGCAACGTGTCAGCTTTCCACGTGTAGATATTTCTGTTGCATTTTTGTAAATAATACTTTGAATTGAGCACGTTGAGGTCGAAGGTGAGAGCTAGACCTCAGTCAGTTCAGTGTGAGATGGGACTATTTACAGTTATCATTCTTTTTCATTTGGTGTGAAGTTATTTTATATTTTAACCCGTCAGGTGACTTTGCAAATGTTTAGCCGATCAGGTATCAAAGGAGATTATTTAACTTGTGACTGAGCTCTTGTGACACCTGTATTGTTTCTGTTTTAGACAGTTCATGCACATTTTCTGTATTTTTTACAAATAAATTTTAAAAAAAAAGGCACACAGTTAAATAGGCTATATCATTTAAAATAAACACATGCATCTATTTTGGGACAACACCGTGTGGGTGGATGTAGCTTGCACAAGAACTATTGTCCTAAACTAGACATCAGTTAAAAATGATATCCTTTTAAAGCGTGTGCATCCAAAAAGAAGACAAAAAACCCCACAATTAATATTAATTGGGAGCATATGGAAATATGGTCAGCATGGATTTATAACCGAACTGGCAAATTGGAGTGTGAATACACCAGAAATGATGTTCTAGTTACTGGTTAACATACAGTAGGCTACACAGTATATGATATGACATTCTGGTTAATGTTAACGCTACACGGGAAGCATGAAAGGCTGTCAAAATGGTTTACTCTACGATATAATATTGCAAAATATTTTGTATTTTAAATGAAGTTTAAAAAAATGAAATAAATGTTGGTTTCAGGATTCCACAACTCGTATGTTTTTCTTTGACTTTGTACAAGGGGTAAAACATAAAGTGTGTATGTGCGTGTGTGTGGCGCCACCTAGTGCATGATTTGTCTTTTCTCCAGCTAATGACCAGCAGAGATTAACAACTGAAAGTTAATCCTCACAAGATTAACATACATCTGGGGCACCGCATGTGTGGTGTGTGTGTGCTTTATTCAAATTCCTCTGTAACACTGGTTTCCATTGAAAAGGAAATCCGTGTAAATATGACAGCTATCAGAGAAGATGACTACAAAATTCAAAACCCAGCATATAGGCATACACAGTATTAAGGCAAAAAAGACTGGAAATCCAAATTTGAAAAAATGTATACAAATGATGACAACACACATTAACAATTTTATTAGACCTTCATCCAGTGTAAGGTTTATCCCACAGCCTAAATTGACAGTATTATTAATCACCAGAATAATTTTTGATTCACCAGTATGTGCAAGCGCTTTAATCTGAATTATATTTTTAATGCTAAAATATAATTATTGTCATCACCCATGGCTTTTCAAATGTGCTCTTTTATTTATTTATTTAAAAAAAAAAATGTTGCTGAGATTTATTGATAAAAACAGTACAAAAAACCAACCATTTGTACACATATTTACAAATAATAATAAAAAGTGAGTGAGTACATTTCAACATTTTCAGCAATCACTCACAATCCTGGCACTGCCATGGTATCTGCAGTCTGCATTTACCACATGTGTATCTGTAGCAGTCAATCATGTTGTAAAACACGGCAACTGGCCAGCGCCGTGTTCCTCTGCAGACAGTGTACTCCCGAACCATCTGGTCCATCACATCCACACCACACTTTGTTTTGTTGTAAAGGGTGACAGTGTTTGGCTTCCTTTTGGTAGTGTTGGGAAGCTGGGAAGAAGGCAAGAAGGCAAGAAAAGAACAGTTGCTTTGGACACAACCCTCCACACCTAGCCCTGGAAAAAGAGCCATGTGTCAGGTCAAACACAAATGCAAGAACAATCATGCCACTGTGCGATGTGTTCACTGCTACAGATACACATGTGGTAAATGCAGACTACAGATACCATGGCAGTGCCAGGATTGTGAGTGATTGCTGAAAATGTTGAAATGTACTCACTCACTTTTTATTATTATTTGTAAATATGTGTACAAATGGTTGGGTTTTTGTACTGTTTTTATCAATAAATCTCAGCAACAAAGGACATACACCCATGTGTGTTGATTTCTCCCTAAGATGGCAAACTGAAACACTCCAAGTTTCCTTGTGGCTCAGGAAACTAACCACTCCAAGTTGGTGACTTTTGGAGATTTATTTCCCTGGATGATTGAGAATGCATTAAGACGAACACAAAAGGAAGTTCACAGCTTTTAGCAGCTCCCCCACCCCCTCATTCACACACCCCCACTCCCCTCCAGAATTCTCAGGTAACAACCTAATTTACATATGAATGACTAGCCAATTTAGCTTCCACTTGGCTGAAGCTAAAGCCTAGCTAAAAGCCTACCAGCCATTTGGCTGGAAGGCGGGTTTTAAAGGTAGAAAGGTAGAAGGCTGGGCACTGCTGCTCTCGGGGGACTCTAAGTGTCAAATCATTTTCTCCCATAAGTCTCATCCTGTAAATCCTGTGAGGAGGACTGTCTGGAGGACCCTCAGTGTGTAAAAGTGCAGTAACTGCAGTACTGATACAAACATCTGATATACTTCAGTTTTTCTGTTGTGCTCCTTTCTACTTCTACATTTGTATTAAAGACAGATTATCAACAAAAATGTGTAACTAAATCACTTCTTTTCATTGTAAAATTAGCTAGTCATAGAGTAAGAACTTACTTGAGATACTTTAAGTAGTTTACTTTAATAGTTTTGCACTTTTACTTAAAAAAAGTACAAAACTTGTAGGATAGGTAAAAAAAACAAAACCTAAAACTGTAGGATTAATTATGTTTACTAAGTTTAGGATGACCCCCCCGCAAAAAAATAAAATAAAATAAAATCTTGCCCCCACCCTGGAACCACAACTTATTTTATTGTATTGTAAGGAATCCTTGTACCTCGCCTGGTCTGCAATCCACCGTTAATAATTAATCTGCAGGTCATTTAAGATGCACAGCACATGGCCGCATCAGCTATAGGAAGCTTTCCTTTATGTCTTTTTTCAAATTTCCCAAATCCCTTTGTATTATAATAAATTTCCAAATTCCTGCGAAATCTTTAGTGCGTTGGAGTGCCAAGTTATAGCCTGCCCTTGTACTTGTACTTTATTTTCAATCAGATGACAGCAATTCAATAACTCGCCTTAATATATTTCCTCCTTTAATTTTATTGATTTATTTTTAATACTTATTATGACTTAACCAATTATCTTTTTTCCTCACTGTGACTTTATTTCCCTCGTCTGGGATGCGCACAAGCATGATGCTCGCATCCCTCCCATCCTCATCCTCCCTCTCTCGAAAGCCAATCGCAGCCGCCTCCTCCCCGCTAACCATGACCTGCCACTCAGCCTCTCTCATCCAATAGAAAAGTTCATCTGAACGGGACGCTCCGGCGGGGTGGGCTCTGTGGCACGTTGCGGTTCGGGTCCAGGTGTGCCATGAAGACAGTGCGCTGAAATTTCTCATTCCGCCTCAAAAGGTAAGAACGACACCGCAGACGAGCGCGTGCATGACACAATTGTCTCTTCGTGTCCGGAGATGTGAGAATAAACCGGGGGTGCTTTGAGAGCTGGAGTGTGGAAATGGACCGGCTCTGGAGTACCGCAATGCAGAGCAGTGAATTACCGGTGCCTCTCAATCGTCATAGGGGTGAAGTGATGTAAGGAACTGCGCAGTTACTTTAAAAGACTGAAGACTGCGACAAAGTCAGCGCTGTCTGGCTTTGCATTTCACTCTGCAGGTTTAGTTCAGAGTGAATCGACTGCAGCACATGCTTTTTAAAAAAGTGCATCAGTGGATGCAGGGAGGAGACTCAAGGTGAAAGTGTCTCATACTGGATGCGTCAAGGGCGCAGAGTGCAGTGGATCCATTATGGCATCTGCTTGGGAAAGTATTAGACAGGGCTACTCCCTTATTGGCCCAAACTGCTGTATATATGCGCTGGAACATCTATCCTCTTAAAACATTAATTCTGAATTATTGTTAAATTAAATGTGTATTGCTATAGAGCCACATCCTGCATACCCTTTGAATATGAACTTAACAGTCAGCCAGATTAGTGCCGCAAACGGCCTGCACTGTAGTGTTCAGTGTATTTGTTGCATAGTGTGAAAGAAATGGAAGTAGCTGTAGGAGTCAGTATAACCAAGGTAACTTCAAATGTGTTTGCTCACATCGCAGGATTGTGTCCCTCCCCTACACTTTCTCTCTTTTCCCCTTGTCTGCTGGGATTTAACAGATTGTAAAAGATGTGACGAGTGTAACGCCTCCTTTCAGATGCTGAAAAGTCCTTCACCAAATGGATTTGGCTGCAAGATTCAGATTATTCCTTATTCAGCCTCGTGTGTCTTTATTCTGTCATTTACATCACTTGTGATCCAAATGCCCGTGCATAAGTAACCCAGCAAACTCAAGATTAAAGCAGCATTACTCGAGTGCCCTGTTGCTGAATTCTAACATTACTATGAATGTGATTTCTGGCAGCCACAAAAGCCACATGCAAACATGGTTATCCAGTCAGCCCCCGAGAGAGACTTGAGGCTTAATACGTGTGCTGACCTAAATTTTTTTCTGGTCTGTCCAAAGAGGATGGTGGTGGGATTATTGCCAGCTGGGAATCGCATGAAAACAAACTCAGATGAATTGATCAGAATTTCCATTATGACAGATTGCAACTTTAATCTGCAAAGCTGTATGAAAGTACTATATATAAAAGTGATTTCTGAATGTGTTTGCACACTTTCAATGTAGCCTGTGTACAGATCTGTGTACCCATATCTAGATGCAAGAGGTGTACTTTCATCTTAGGACAAGATGCACAGACACATAGCTGTGCAGCTATGGTGACATTAGTGCTGAGTCATCATGAGGGCCTTTGAGAAGTCACTGCTGCAGTCTCTGCATGTGGATAAGCTACTGGGTGTATGCCTCTGCTCTCTCACTCCCTCTTTCTGCTTGTTTGAGACAGATGCTGCTAACTGAGAATGATGGCTGTTTGGCCCTTTCTAGGTCTATTTTTTGCCACATTTTTTTTACCATTCAGCTTCAATTTGCCTTTTAAAGTTTGCATTACTAAAGTGAAGTGCATGTTAATTTTAGTTTTCGTGCATACAGTATATGCCTTTAACTATATAAATGTAATGTTTAATATGTTCAGTTTAATACGGCCTCATTCCATGTGACAGTGTATGAAGATTATCCATTGTAAGCCTGAGTTGATGATGGTTTAGAGCAAATTGAAAGATTTCCGATGCATTTTGAACCAGCAGCAGACACAAAAGAGAAATCTGCAGCTCTTGTATCCTCAACAAGTCAGCAGAGACTTCAAGGAAATTTATAAATAGTATTTGGCTATGTAAAGTGAAGTAACTTGCATACATAGCTGTAGTAGTTGTCTATTCTGTGCCGAACCAGTGCACTTTGCAACACTAATACAAAAATGAGAAGCTGCCAAAATGTAGCATTTACACCCACTAATCCCACAAGATTCGTCACAATTACAGAGTCAGGCTTTTCCTTCATTCCTTTTTTAACCTCCTGAGACCCGAACTCTTCCACAGCATGCATTTTCAATTTCTCTTTCATATTTGGGCATATTGGGACCTGATGAATGTAAAAACAAAGCTCGGGGGGCGATCGTGGCTCAAGAGTTGGGCGTTCGCCTTGTAATCGGAAGGTTGCCGGTTCGAGCCCCGGCTTGGACAGTCTCGGTCGTTGTGTCCTTGGGCAAGACACTTCACCCGTTGCCTACTGGTGGTGGTCAGAGGGCCCGGTGGCGCCAGTGTCCGGCAGCCTCGCCTCTGTCAGTGCGCCCCAGGGTGGCTGTGGCTACAATGTAGCTTGCCATCACCAGTGTGTGAATGGGTGGATGACTGGATATGTAAAGCGCTTTAGGGTCCTTAGGGACTAGTAAAAGCGCTATATAAATACAGGCCATTTACCAATTAGCAGATTTTTTTTTTAATCTCATTTTGGTTTTTAAGAAAAATGAGAGCCACATATGAGTATATTCATTTAAAATTTCGATAGAACAGTAGCAGTATAATGTCCTTGTAAGTGGATATCAGGCCCTTGTAGAGCAAAATTGAGTATTTTGGTCTAAATAACCCAAAATGTGATGTCCACATATGTGGACGAAAGGTCCTAGGAGGTTAAATATTGAAACCTGAAATGTAAATGTCATATAAGCAACAACAAGGTCAGCTTACAGTTTATAACAGAGTTGCTTAAAATACAACTAAAGATTTTAGTTGTCATTCTTATGCAAATTTTTTTCCATATTTCCATCTATATTTACAGTAAACTGAAATCACAAAGGGGAAGAAGCCTTTAGTTAGCTATCAGTGGGCTTACACAAAGGGTGCTAACTAAAGCAGCCTTCCATAAAACAGTATAACTAAAATGACCTCTGAGATGGCTTGTTTGCTTATTAAAACCAAATTCTATCTATATACTAGGTTGTAGATGTGGCTTTGCTGATTTAAAACCTTAACTTTAACTTACTGTTGTTGCCATCTTGCTTTTTTGGAGCATGAATTGATCGTAGTTAAAGGTAACAATTGAGGGCGAGTAAGCTTATTTAGCTAGGAGCATCCATAGACTGAATGGGTGCTACAATAATGCTAAATAACACACAAATAAAATGGTAAAGTTGATGACAAAAAATAGACTTATTGGAAGAACAAAACAGAATATATTATCTTTTAGATAACTGATAGAAATTCAGTGACCCTAATTAGCGATGGTGAGATCAAATAGTGCAAAGCTGTAAACCTTAAATGGGTTATATTAATCTCTACCCCTACAGTTGTTATGAAGAGATAAATTACCCATTAATACTAAAAAAGAACCTATCTGCACAGGGCTGTAAACCTGTGTATTTCTGTTGTAAATAACAGTATTTTAAAATGGGAGTTATGGTCAGGAGTGCACATAAGTGGTCCGCAGGTGCACATTCGCTGTCAAAATAAAAGACGCGCACCAGATAAGAAGCTGCAACGCACATTTGCGTACATAAGATTTTCTGGAAGAGGACAGACATTTGTTTAGAACTCTTAAAGATGTCGAAGAAATAAGCTACTTTAAGCAATTACTCTGGTGTTCCTCCACTTCCAAAGAAATGTCCGAAGGAGTCCGAACCGCAAAAGAAGCGCGTATTCTCGGAAAAGTGGTTGCAGGAGGTGAGCTGGCTTCAAACAAATGATGAATGCACAGAGATGTGGTGCAGAATATGCCGTGAAAATCCCACTCTAGCGGACAAAAACAGTGCCTTTTATATGTACGCAAACGTGCGTTGCAACTTCTTATCTGGTGCGAATGTGCACCTGCGGACCACTTATGTGCACCCCTGGTTATGGTAACTAATTGGCTCTTGGAGTCAGCCTCAAGTGGCCAGTCCTGGAACTGCATTTACTGGTTGCCACTTGGTCCCCAGCACAGCTGCAAAGTAGCAAACACTGCCAAGACAGGGGAAAAACAGACAATCATAAAGGGATTCCTCAATTTCTTTATGAGATAATGATATAAAATGTGTTCTCCACAAGAGATTTTAAAACTTTACACAGAGATATCCAATTTCCAGCTTAACCCATCCTGTTAACCAATCCAAGGTCATACTTAACATATCCATGCCTCTGTGAGTCATTCCTTCTGTTTTTCACACTGTCATGTTTGACATAGTTTTCTGCTGTTGCAAACACACACACCAACACACAGCAGCAGTACTGTCATTTCATCCTGTAGGAGTGATGCGTAAGCATGTTTCATGGCACTGCGGGAGCCCTTAAGTAATGCTGAGCTACAATGTGTTTTGTTCATATGCAGGCAGTTGTGGGGTTTCAGTGTTTGAGCATGCACTCAGACAGTGCAGGTATGTGTGTTTGTGCAGGTGCACTTTCTTGTGGTTGTGCACCCACCCAGCTCACACTGCATTGTACTGCTGAGTCACTGACATCCTGAATCATTTATATTCACAGGGAGGATTCCAGCTTGCTCTGCACTGACTGCTTCTGGTCTGCAAAGTCCAGTAAATAGCATGTAGTGTCATTAGCCTGTTTTGAGTGACATAAGTGTTTTGAAGAAATAAAATAAATTGCACTGAATAATGAAACAAATGATGACATAGATCCTGAAGGAAAAGCTCTCCTTCCTCTCTGTCTCTTTCAGCCCTCCCCGGTTCATGTCCTGTCCATCGACTTTTCTCTCCATCCACCTCCATCCCTCTGAGTCAGTCTGCTGACTGCCATGGCTTCCACTGCTTTATTGCTGCTGGCTCTCTCCTCCTTCCCCTCGCTCACAGGTAAGAAAACTAATGATGCCTAAAAATAACACATGCTCTCTCAAAATGATGTTGAGGGGAAAAAAGATATTATTGTGCAGCCTTTAATGTTTAATGTTTCTACTCTTCTAGTGGCAGTTTTGTTTGGTGAGCCCAGAATATATGGTGGTGAGTTGGTTTTGTCATAATAAAAGGACTCTAAAAGAGCTAATTCAGGATTATTTTTGATCTAATATGTATGAACTAACTAATTTGTTCTGTGTCAGAGGATGCTACTGGTTACGGCCCCATATTTGAAGAGGAGCCTGTGGATGTGGTTTACATCGAAGACTCACCTGATGGGAGAATCTCCATGAACTGCAGAGCACGTGCTAACCCCCCAGCTACATACAGGTTACAAGCCGGTGCATGATAGTTTTCCTAAATAAGAAATACATTAAATTACATTACAGGATGTCACATTTGAATTGCTGCTAGGTGGCGTCGGGATAACTGGGAAATCAAGCTCAAGGAGCAGCCGGATGAACACTACAGCCTGGTGGGGGGGAATTTGGTAATCACCAATCCAATCCAGAAGAAACATGCTGGGACGTACGTCTGTGTGGCCAGGAATATTTACGGCACCGTTATCAGCAAAGAGGCCAGAGTCAAGTTTGGATGTGAGTATAATGTTAATATAGTTAAAACTGAACTAAAAACTAAAATTATATGTAAAAAAAACCAAAACATTTTAGGTCACTCAAATAAAACTTTAAACTAGACATTTGAAAAAGCGAAATAAAACTAACTCAAAAAATATACAGGAAAGATTCTTAGTTTTTGTGTTTGTTAATTTAGTAAAGAGTTGTTATTAAAACTTGTCTTTTAAGGCTTTGATGGTCATATTTATTGACATTTTGGATGCCTACAAGAATGTGAGTCAAGTTGTGTGTTTTTATTCTATTAACTGTATTGACTTTCCTAAGTCTTGCCTCTGACGTATGCCTTCCATACAATAAAAACTAATAAAGACCAAAGTTGCTTTTTAAACTAAACTGAAACTGAACTAAATTAAAAGCAAAAAGTCAAAGAAATAAAGTTAAAAATGTATTTGAAAGTGAATACCACCAAGCACGGCATTCCTGCTTAAGTTCAGTGTTGACATCTTGAGCTGAATATGTTCTTGGCTTTAGCTTCAGGTTCGACAGCGTGTCTGCTCACATTATCTCCAACTCATTAAGGTTGTGACGATTGAGTTCCTTGACTGGTCCAGATTATTTTAGTGTTGATATTTATGTATTAATTTCAACTGTAACGTCCTCAGACTGGCATACAGATAAAGACTAAGTGGAGATCAAATGGAAAAAACATAAGCCAGGTATGGCAGTTCCAAATCACTAAGGCTGAGGCTCAGGTGGTAGAACGGGTCTTCTACCAATCGAACAAATAAAAGCTACCAGTAAATCTACCAGTACAAGAGCGGTACAAATGTGTGTGTGATTGCGTGATAGAGTCTTGTAGGAAAAGCAAATTGAACGTTTAACTACGTAGAAAGGCACTATGTAAGTACCATTTACAGAAGAGAGGACAACACAGACTAAAATCTAGAAAGCAACACAGCAAGTTTTCATCTTTGAGGGAATGCTCTTTGAATCATAATACTTATCAAACACTGTGTTGACTCATTGAGCTCCTTAATGACTAAAGCTTATTCACACCTTTGAGCAGTTTTGCAGTGGCTGAACTTTGACCCCCGTGTACTTTCTGTGTAGTTCTGGGTGAGTTTCCTGATGAAGAGAGAGAGCCAGTTTATGTCAAAGAAGGACAGGGAGCAGTTCTGTTGTGTGTACCTCCAAAAGCCTGGCCACGTATGTACATGTCTTCAAGAATTACACCTAAAATTCATCATTCAAACAGTGTGTAGATTTCAGAGGTGCAAACAAGAAAACGTGGCCTATGCATCTCTCCCTCTTTCTGTTCCCTTTCAGAGGAGGTTACCTACCGCTGGATCTACAATGAGTTCCCAGTGTTCCTGAACACAGACCGTCGTAGGTTTGTCTCCCAGAAGACTGGGAACCTCTACATTGCCAAGGTGGAAGCTCAGGATGCGGGAAACTACTCTTGCTTTGTTTCTAGTCCCGTCTTAGGAAAGAGTGTTTTCTCCAAATTCATCCCTCTCATCCCCTTACCCCCTGACGATGGTTAGTCACCGTGCTGCAACGATACCGGAAAAGGATTTTTGCATGCTTTATTATTGTATATATAATGAAGCCTTTTCTCTTAGGTGAGGAGAGAAAATACCCAGCAGACATCAGGGTGAAGTTCCCAGATACGACTGCCATGCTGGCCTCTAATATTACATTAGAATGCTTTGCTCTTGGAAAGTAAGTTTTTCTTAGTATAATTCATGTACACATGCAAGCATTGCATAACACTGATGCATTCAAATACCATAGGAAAGAGTTTATGTGGAAACAATAATGGAAATAGTTGACTTTTTTTTAAAAAACTAGGCAAGGTAACAAGAGCACACATTTGATTCCCTTTTACTGATAATTAATTGGTATAAATGCGAGCAGATGCCACGTAAAAACAACTTTTTGCAGTCATTTGTAAGTCATTTACAGAAACTGGACTTTCAATAGAAATACAATCACATGCAGAAAAATGCAAAGAAGAATGGCTCAAAAAGAAAAAAATGTTTGGATTGTTAAATGACTGAGTCAAAATCCATATTTAAAAACCACTGAAATATTATAGTCCTGTTTCAAACTCAAGAAAACCTGGAAACAGTCTGTAACTAAAGGGGTTGTATACTTACGTGTTCCAAATAGGAACGTTATATCTTTTGAATATCTTGTGTTATATCGTTTAAATTATTCTTAAGTTTGCATTCATGTACAGTGCCTAACCAATTTATTCGACTAACTGTCATAAAAACAAGAAAATAAAACTATTCGAGTGATCTGTCAAAAACCTGTGTAAAACTAAAAACTGTATTGGCAAATTACAAACTCAATTCACATTCTTATGTTCAAATTCAGCCTGTTCTCACTCCCGAGGTGTAATACAGTGATGATTTTGTCAAGTCCTGAGGTGTTCCTTCTGCGTTCTTATGCTACGCCTGGGTTATGGATAAAATCCAGTAGAATGACTCTCCCAGGGTAATACACGTCCCAGCCATGTATTCCAGCCCTAACCCTAACTTTATTCCTAAACTAGTGCTGTCAGCACGGCGTCGATGCATCAGCGCGGTTAGCTCATTAATGCGTTAGCGCAGTCCAGCTCCACACGCGGGGAGATCCGCGTTAACTCACTAAAGGAGATTTGTCGCATTAATGCGGTTATGGTGTTAACGTCATTTTAACAAGATTAATGCTGACAGCACTACCTTAAACCTAACCATAACCTTATCCCTAACCATAACCAGGACTTTAGACATTAGATAGTGTTTTCCAAAGCGATTTAAGTAAAACGAATGCAGATTAATTCCAAACGGTTCCCATGTTTCCTCATTTCCTCATCTCGTAAAATAGGGAGATCTCATTAAAACAAATTTTTCTGTTCAAGTATGCAAGTAAAAAACTGTAATTTTGCTTCTTAATCCAAAAATAATAATGAGTCTTTTCTTTTTTTGCTTTTTTACAACAGTAAAATTGAAAATTTATTGAGAACAATTATATTTTACATTAAGATTACTTTGTACAAAGAGTTTGTGAATATTCTTGGATTGCCTATTACAGAAATAGAAAAATGATTTGGGTAATGAACAGTTCTGTTAATTTAAACTGGCTGGTGGTCTAAGACATTTTTTTATACTTTTTAAAATACTTTTATTTTTTGTATACCTTTATCTGTAGGGACTGCATCAAAGAAGAGCCTCTGGTTAGTTTGCTTTACTATCACATCAACAAACTAACTGTATTTTCTGCACAGTCCCATCCCACATATTGTATGGAGGAAGGTTGATGCTACAGACCTCCCGGCTAATCATGAAATCAGTGAATCGGGGGCCGTGCTTCATCTGTTTAATGTACAGTACGAAGATGTGGGATTTTATGACTGTGAAGCCATCAACACTAAAGGAAAGGACTGGCACAAGGCCTGGCTCTATGTGGAGTGTAAGTCATTTGTCAGAGCTCAGTGACTTGCCTGTCTGTGTTATCCAGTAATGTATAGTGATTCCCATTATATTTTTCCAGCTGCTCCGGAGTGGGCAGAGACCATCAATAACACGATGAAAGACATTGGCTCAGAGCACACCATGCGCTGTGTGGCATCAGGGAAACCCTTCCCTTTCATCCGCTGGTATAAAGATGGATATATGGTAAAAACTCTTTGACATGTTGTGTGAAACTGGGCAATATGATATCTCAGCTTGGCTTTACAGTTGCTTTGTGTAAGTCTTCTTTGGCTCAAGTACACGTTTGGGTTGTGTTTTTACTAGTATGGTAAAGGTGAGCTGAAGTTTTCCAGCCTGACTTTTGCTGACTCCGGGATGTATCAGTGCATCGCTGAGAACTACTGGGGCATCAAATACGCCAACGCTGAGCTGCGAGTCATCGGTACTCTGATTTAGTGAATTTTGACATTTAAAAGCACAACTGAACTGCTATATTATGGTTTAAGACAGGTATTAAACACAAAATGACACTTCTAACCTCCCTCCAGCCTGTGCGCCAACATTCGAGTTCAACCCTGTGAAGAAGCAGCTTCTCGGAGCTAAAGACGGACGTGTGGTGATTGAGTGTAAACCCAGAGCGGCTCCTAGACCTCGATTCACCTGGACAAAGGGCAAAGAGCTCCTCTACAACAGCTCACGGTCAGCCTAATACCTCAGCTTTACTCTTTTGCTTGTTGAAAAAAGGCACATCAGGAAGCTTAACTGCTTATGTCCATATTCACAGCATTTCAATCATGTTTGACGGGAGTCTGGAGATCTTGAATGCCACCAAAAACGATGAAGGGGTTTACACCTGCTTTGCGGAGAATGACAGAGGAAAGGCCAACAGCTCTGGCTATCTCACCATCACAGGTCAGCGCATGTATATGTGTGCATCTAAACAGAGTAAAGATCCCACAATCTAGAATGATTTTTAAGTGTATCTATAATATTCTTTTGCTTAGAGGCTACCAGCATCACAGTAGCACCTGAGGACACTGAGGTTAGAGTTGGTGACGAGGTGATTCTGAAGTGTCAAGCTTCATACGACCCCATGCTGGACATCACATTTATCTGGGCTATAGACTTCAGAGTCATCGACTTTAATGCAGAGTGGCAACAATATGAACGTGTCATGGTAGGGTTGGTGATTTATTACAGCCATATTTATGTTAAACCTTCTTCGAAGATGCAGACTAAAGATCCTCTGTATACTTCACCCACTTTTCTCATTATCCTTTTCTCCTTTGGGTTTCCTTCCTTCTATTATGCTGTTGTTTCCTGTCATTTAGAACGAAGATGGTGTTGGCGACCTGAGAATATTGAACGCTCAAATTTGGCACGAAGGTCGCTACACCTGCACGGCTCAGACTGTTGTGGACAGTGACACTGCCTACTGTGATCTCAAGATTGTAGGTCAGTCTGAGCATGAGGTGAACACAGATGTAAAGAGTCAAGTATAGTCTTAGAAAGCTATGAAGGAAAGTTCTCAGTGCCAGCCCACATCAGCAAGTGATGGCAAAGCTGTAACATTTTCATGGATCCAATGAGGAAATCTCATATAAAAGTATGCTATGTAAGCTGCTGTAGCCTGCCTAGTGTTGCTGCAGATCTGCAAGCTACTTGGGAACCCACCCCCAGCTCAATATTTTTCCATGCTAGCAAATAGGCATGACATCTTTTGCCATTAAAGTCTGTTCTGAGGTGCTAGAACAAAGCAACACTGCTGAATATAAGTGACTACAGAAAAACTGGAATTATTTTTATCCCCCTTATACTCATTTTTCCATGTGTTTTCATTCTCCTCCCTCATCTGATCCCCAAACCCCAGGTGTTCCTGGTCCTCCTGGTGTGATTCGGGTGGAAGAGATTGGGGACACGTGGGTGAAGCTGTGGTGGACTAAAGGAGCTGAGCATAATAGCCCTATTCTCTACTATACCATTCAGACCAGACACTACTGGGCTCTATATGAAGATGACTGGAGGAATGCCAGCACTTGTGAGTACTGCTCGCTGCCAGCAGGGGGCCAACTCACGCCACAGATATGATAAACTAAAGCATCCTTTACTATTTTTAGGCTCTGAAACAAATGAGTATGATCTGTGATTCTTTTGGATATAAATTACTTAAAAAATAATAGATATATTTATTATTATTATTTTCATCATTTAAATGTTCCTTGTGTCCTTCAGCTCCAACTGTTCTTGATGGCAGTATGGAGAAAGCAGAGGTGACAGACTTGTATCCTTGGATGGAATATCAGTTTAGGATCATTGCTACTAATGAGCATGGCTCTGGAGAGGCCAGTATCCCCTCCCTCAAGATCAAAACCTGGGACGCTCGTAAGGATAAAAAAGAAATTGAAGTTGTGATATGTTAGATATGCTATTTTAAAAATACTAATGATAAACTATTTTCTTGCCCTCAGCACCAGTTGTGTCTCCCACCAATCTGGCCGGTTATGGAGGTCGAAATGGTGAGATAATCATCACGTGGACAGTAGGTGTCTCTGCTTGACTTCCTCATTCGCAAGTTCCATTTTAACAGTTGAATTTTACTGGAAACTGTTTCAACTTGTGACCTTTAGCCCGTGGAGCCTTGGTACTTCTATGGTAAGAAGTTTGGCTACATCGTCGCGTTTAAGCCTCACGATGCTTACGACTGGTGGTACGAGACCATCTCGGACCCTGAGACAAGACGACACGTTCACAGAGACACCTATTTCATCCCCACTGAGGAAGACTTCCAGGTGCGAGAGTTTCAGGTGAAGATCAAGTCATTTAATGTGAAAGGAGACGGACCCTACACCCTCACAAAGGTCATCTACTATCCACGAGATGGTAAGACCTTTGCTTTGGGCTTGATCACATTCCTGTTTTTATTACCGTGGAAACTATGAGCACCTTTTTCAATTTCATTTTTCTCCATCTTCTTCAGTACCTACAGAATCTCCAACAGATATCTACGCTAGGCCTGTGTCCTCCACTGAAGCTCTGGTTTGGTGGTTGCCAGTGGTTGACACTGGAACAGGCCTACAACAGTATATTGAGGGATACCAGGTACAGAACTGCAGAGAGATTAGATAGTTGCATTAACAATCAGTTGAACAGGGGTCCATTCCATAACAATCCCATATCCTGTCATCTAGGTCAGATACTGGAGAAAATATGATGATCCGGAACCAGGTGCCAATCGTATTTTTGTCTCAGCCTCAGTCAATCAGACAAGGCTGGAAAATATGCTGCCAGATTCACACTACCTCATCGAGGTCCGTGCCTACAATGGAGCAGGCCTCGGACCCCCTGGAGAAATGTGTGAGATGTTCACCAAGAGGCCACGTAAGACAGAGCATAACTATAATAAGATTTATAATAAGGAGCAAATCTGCATTTGGAGACTCAATAAATGATCTCTTTACAGCACCACCAGATCCTCCCAGGATGTGGCGATACATCAGTTGGACAGGGAAATGGCTGTATGTGTGGTGGGATCATATCCAGTACGACTGGTTCGGTAATATTTCCTTCCCGCTGTACTACAAGGTTTGTAAAGTGTTTCTCTTTTAATTAGAGTTAAAACAAGTTTCTCACGTCTGTCGTATAGCGATAACAGGATTGCTGAAGACCTTCCATGTTTCTCATCATCTGCCAGGTCATGTTCAGAAAGTCAGGCTACATCTATGGGAAGGTCTACATCACTGGCTGGCACTTCATGGACTTCCCCATGCCTCAGGTTGGAGATTATGAACTGATGGTGCGTGGCCGTTATGAAGGAGGAGATGGCCCAATCAGGAGGATTAAGATTCTGGGTAAAGCTCAGAAAAATCATTAAATAAAAATGAAAGTCTTCACCCATTTTACCTACTTTTCAATCACTTTTTTGTGTGTTTGATGTTGTTTCTTCTTCTTCCTCAGGTCATGCATCCACAATCACGCCCACCTTAAGCCTGGTGTCTTTGGTGCTGCTGGCACTGTGCGTTGTGGGACTGGAAATTTAAGCCTGCCTCAAGCAACATGTATATAACAGACTCTGGGAAGCAAATACACGGACCATATTGAGGATCTAGTCTTTATTATCAAACAGTCTTCACATTGATGCTCACTAAGATGCCACATCCTGCATCCTTCTAGCTTTTGTTCAGGTGTAACACAATACTGGAAAAAGAAAATTGTTTCTCAAAAATAAGATTTGTTGTTAATCCAAATGCTTTTCTAGACCAATTACCAACCATATTTGTATACCATCATATGACAAGATCTAAAATGTCTTGAATGGATTATATGACAAGGCACATGATTCTCCAAACACTGTGTAGATAGAAATAAATGCACAAGGAAAAGAAAGTTTAAGTTGTTTGTCAAGCGAAAAGTGCGATTTTCCAGTCTCTTAAGTTATTTTCTATTAATTCTTTTTGTTGGAAAAATTATGATTTCTTTTTACACAGACAGTCTCCATCTCTCTGTTAAATCAGTCATTAGTATGTACACAAAAATATAATAAGAAATGCTTTTGGTTATTTTTAAAAAGTGTTTATGAAAACTATGTAAGTTATTTGTGAATAGCGTTTTTTCTTCTTCTTTTTTAAATTTATTTATTGAAACAGGAGTAATGCTACCAACGATGGGGACAGAATGTTGGTGGGGGAGCTGTGGGTTTCGCAATGACTCTAAATTGTTATTCGGAGTTATTAACAATGAAAGACATATCGCTTTGACATCTACTACTGTATATCACCTGGATCTGTACGCTAACTTCTTTTGTGTCAAGCTGCAAAACCATTAAACCGAATGCAACAAACAAATGACAACTGTGTACTTGTGAAATTTTCTCAATGCGTCCCAACTGAGTCCCAACAAATGACACAACTTAATTATTTTTGGAGGATTTGTGGAAATGTGATGTGTGTTTTCAGTCAACAGATGGCAGTACAGCCACATGTTGTTAGCCACTGTTTTAGTTACCCATCACTGTACTTGCTAAGTGTTTTGTTCTTAACCTGAGTAAAACTTAATAACAGTCACTGCTTGTAGAGAAAACAGGGAGAGAGCTTGGCGGGTATGTAGGCACACATACTGCTTATGCTGCTTTGCTTATACTGGGTTAAGACCTTTGTTGCTTTAATTCTTCATGCCATAGATTCAACAAGGTGCTGGACACATTCCTCTGTGATTTAGTTCCATATTAACATGACATCATTATACAGTCACTGCAGTTTGCCTAAAATCTCCTTTCCACCACATCCCAAAAGTGCTCTACTGAATGAAGATCTGGTGACTGTGGAGGCCAGTGAGCTCATTATTATATTTATAAAAACACAGTTTGAGATGACTTTAGCGACATGGCGCGTTATCCTGTGGTCATAAAGGAATGGGCATGGTCAGCAGAAATACTCAGGTTTGTTGTGACGTTTAAAGGATGCTTATTTGGTATGCCATGCAATCATACAACCACTGTGGCCTAAACCACTGATAATGGGCAGCAGAAGTAAACAGTTATCACACTAGGCAATGTTTTCGGGATCTGTGGTCTTCCACAATCTTCTGGTGAACCTTTGTGAGTTGTAGCTTCATTTTTCTATTCTTAGCTGATAGGAGCGGGACCCAGTGTGGTCGTCTGCTGCAGCAGAATCTCTGCTGGCTATGTTGTGCACTTAGAAATGCTCTTCTGAATACTTTATTTGAGCAGCTATTTGAGCTATATTAGTTACTTTTGCCTTCCTATCCACTAAAAGGAGTCTGGGCATGCTGCTCTAAATTTTGTCACCAACAAGTCATTTCTCTCATCTTCAGACCATTCTCTCCAAAGCCTCTACGGATGGATGTGTAGAAAATCCCAGTGGGTCAGGATTTTCTGGAATAATGATACCACCCTGAGAACCACGCTAGATTCAGAGTCACTTTTCTTAAATCAACATTTTGATGCTCAGTTTGAACCACAGCAGATTGTCTTTCCATGTCTAAATCCCTAAATGCACTGAGTTGCTGCTATGTGATTGGCTCATGAGATATTTGCAGGTGAACAGGTGTACCTAAAAACAACTGGCTAATGGCACTGGAAACATATAGGTCAACCAGGTGAGTAGAAATTGTTGTTATGTGGTTAAAAATGTTGATTGTCTCTGTTTTAAGTACTATGGAGGGATTTTTTGCTGTTGTTGTTGTGACTGATGTTGTGCAGTTTTGAGTTCTCCCCTCCCCAAAGCCTGTCAGCAGACAGCTGACCCACTGCATGACCCTTTCCAAAACAGCCCCCACACCTAAAGTAGGGAGTCTGTTTATTAGGGTGTTGGTCTAGTGATGTAGTGACTTTGATGTGTGTAGTCAAGAAAATGGAAACAGTGACCTGTTGACCCGTGCTGCCCACCCCTGTGCACCAGAACATTCTGTATCCGTAAATCCTAGACAGCAAGACAAGGGTGGAAATAAATGAAGAACTTAAATAAAATCCATAGTTTTCTATATTTATGTTATTTATAGTATAGATTTTATGGTATTTCCAAGCTAATAGAGAGACGAAGAAGGAGGGATTCACTGCATCCCAGAGGGACTTTTGTCATACAGCATATTGCTTTGCTTAGTCCAAAGCAGTGGCTACAGCATGACCATAATATCTGTGATGTTGTTGGAGAGCAAAAGGAGGCTTTTGTAAGTCCATGTTTTTTACTTGTGCTCTTGCTTGTATATAGTACAGTAGTCTCTGTGGGTGGCTTTTATCTCTCCTGCAGCCACCTTCATTACCACCAGTTTTTCTCCCATTTTACCTCCTTCCATTCAAACAAATTACACAAACACTGAAAATCCCATGCGAGGCTGAAATCAGTGCTGCAGTCATTTACAAACAATCACAGCAGATGTGCAAAGGTGAGTCTTCCATGGCAGGGGAACGAGTCGTCCTCCAGAGAAGGATATTGAAAAGCCTGTTGTGATTCATGGTTCCTTCAGCTTTTATTAGCATTCTTGGTATAGATCTCCTCTGGACAATGAACACAAATATATTGTTTGTGGCAGGGACAGCAGTAGCTCTGCAAAATGGTATTTTTGTTGGAGTTTGTTGCAGTGAAATTGTGTTTAGTTTGTCAGCAGAACTTGAAGTTGTGTTGATAAATGAGACTGATTTCCAACATGTATATTCAGAAAATTACATATAGCAGCTGAACACTGTCACTTTGAGGATGTGTTATACTGAACATCGATATGTGCAGGAATCTGGATCATTACTGTAAATGAGAAAGGCGATTGGGTTACAACACCTGATGAATAATACATATGCAGACTGAAGTCCAGCTCTGATATCTGTGAATATGCTTTCAATGAATTCATTTGAGCAATTGATTCCATTTATTTTACTTGAACAATTATTTAAAGCAGTCTATGACAAACATTGGACTTCGGAGTTTATTTATTTATTTTTTTATGATAGGAAACCTGCCACACACACACACACACACACACACACACACACACACACACACACACACACAACCCCGTTCAGCTATCTTAGTGAGGACCATAATTGACATAATGCTTTCCCTAGCCCAGGGGTCAGCAACCTGTAATACCCAAAGAACCATTTGGACCTGGTTTCCACAGAAAAGAAAACACTGGGAGCCGCAAATACTTTTTGACATTTAAAATGAAGATAACACTGTATATATTGTTTTTTTTTACCTTCATGCTTTGTGTAAACAACTAAAGTGTGTTGCTTATAAAATCCATGAAGTGCTACAGAGAAAATTACATTTTATTTATGTAATTAACACATTTTGAACTCTTGAAGAAATATAACAAAAGGAAAGACACCCAGCTGAACTAAAATGATCCATGTAGCAAACAAAAACTGTTATATCGCCTTTGGGCTTTTGGAGCCTTGACCTGTCTTTTAAAAATATTTGGAAAACAAAGCACCATGCTGCTAAAAAATGAAAACTAGATATTTGCAAAATTCTGCCTAAATATATATTTTACCTGGTTAATGTGTGGCGGGGTCTGCAGTGCCGCTGCATGGGAGTCAGACGCACCGGAGCGGCACCCGCAATCACTCCTCGCCGCCTTAAAGTCTGTACTCTCTTTGCTGTTGTGTTGTCAGGCTGAGAGCTGAAAAGCTACAGCCGACTGTGTGCGTACAGCAACCGTGTGTGAAAAGTGGTCAATAAAGACATGCTGAAAAACATGGTCATGGAAACATCGTCGGCTCTGCCGTGGTATGTTTACGATGGGACTTCTGCTCCTCAACCTCTGCGCACAGATTCTGCAAATCGGGGCTGTAAGAAGTCACTTTCATCTTTACGCAGGACTGTAAGCTGTCATCTGTGAGGCGTGAGCGGTGTTTGTTTTTAACATAGTTCACGGTGGACAATAGCTGCTGCCATAATATGGATCCGAAGATCCATAACTGGCCTACCTGGGGTTAAAAGTCTCGATAAATAAACGGTGTTTCGGCGGGTACACCGGCTTCCGCGAGTGTGACGCTTATTTTGAGCGATGAAAAATAATAAAATATAATTTTATTTTTATATTTCAATATCACAATAATCTTCCAATTTAGAACTACAAGTTAAAATAGAACTAAACACAAATAAAATACACTTCAGCTAAATACTTCTAATTTATTTTCCCAAACCACCCGCGGAGCGCAGTATAAGGACAAAAGAGCTGCATGCGGCTCCGGAGCCGCAGGTTGCCGACCCCTGCCCTAGCCCCTTACCCTAACCATTAAAAATGAATGCCTAACCCTAACTAAATACAACTTTTTCTTATACCTAACCATAACCTAATTGTAACCCTGACACTAAAACCACATTTTGAGCCTCAAAAATGCCTTTAAATGCCTTCAAACTTGTGAGGACCGGGTTGTGTGTCCTCACAAGTGACTGCTGGTTCTCACAAGTATAGTAGAATGCAGATTTCGGTCCTCACAAAGATAGCTAGACAGGAACACACACACACACACAAAGTAGACAATTTAGGAGTCAAGCCAGGAAATTACATTTCTTCCTTTTGAAAGGAAATTAATAAATGAATTATTGTTATAACCGGTGAGGGGAACTAAATTTACTTACTGAAGCACTGCAGAAACGTTTTGATGTATGTCTATTTCAAAAACAACAGCAAAAAATTATTGTAGAAGAAATCGTCCAGAAAATAAAATGAGTTTAATCTTAATGAGCCAATTTTAAAGTTCTGTATAATATATTAGGGATATTAATGATCCATTGATGAAGCACTACTGTGGACAATCAACATAACAGTTTAATATTTCTTTCATTTTGTAGCCAATGCATTGCTTAAAGCAACATCCCACCTCCATGAGATAATTTTAAGAATGGGATGAAGTGATGATGAACAGGTGGAGGACCAGACACGGGTGAAACTGATTAACATCAGCACAACAGAGACAATGAGGGTGGGAAGTATAACTAATAGAGGACACCACTGAAGATTAACCTACAAAGTACAATGGAAATAACCTGAGAGAAACTGTTGTAGTCTGAATACTAACACTTAACAAGATGAACAGAGAATGGAAACACAAAGGGAAATTAATACAGACTGAGATGGAGGAAGGATGATAAAAGCAAGACTCCAAAAATCACAACAACAAAGCTCAAACATGAATGAAAACCAAGAGCAAAAGGAACGATGAAAACCAACAAACAATAAGAATCCAGAAAAACTACAAGAAAATCAAAAGCCCTTTATCCAAGACCCAGGACTATGACAACAATTAATAATTTAACATAGCAGGTTAGGAACCACCAACCTAAGGTGTCCACAGATCACTGCAAACTTACAGATCACTGAAAGA